ATATATATATATATATGGGATTAGGGATGCACTGATGCCGATACTGGGCACTTTTACGAGTTCTCGTGAGTACTTTCAGGAGCTGAATGGAGCAGAGGAAAGTATGGGCAGCACAGGGTCTTAGTAGTTGGCACTGGAGGCTTAATTGTCTCCGGTCTAATTGGCCCTGTATGAATGTATGAGAAGGACCCTAGATTGTAAGCAACTCGAGGGCAATGACTGATGTGAAGTATGTAAAAGAGCAACATAAATTGTCAGCACTGTATAAATAACTGTAATTAATAAATAATGTGCTGTTAGGGAGGGGGCATTAAAGTGAATATTTTGCTTTTCTTGCATGGCACAAGCACAGGCTTGCTTTAATAAGAACAAGAAGAAGGTGTGAGTCCAAAACTCACAGGCATTAGAACCATCGTAAGTAGCTTTAGCTATGCAGCATCAGCTCAAAAAGGCAAAAGAGGCTTGAAGAAACTTTCAATGTAATAACCAAAATGTGAATAAGCAAGAACAATTTACTATTTCTCTGGCTTTAATCCTTTTCAAGCATTTATAATGAAGCAATTTACACACTATGCAGTGCATTATTAAAGAATAAGTGCATGTTTAGACTGAGTCCACTTTTTCTTCCCCTGAACTAAAAGTTCACACCCTCGCCCTCCGCAGATCTGTACTTACCGAGATCAAAAACCACTGATCTGCTCTTTGTTGAAATTCAGCGCTACAGGTATACCTCTCCTTGCCACATTTGTCTCCAGATTGGGAGATGGCCCCTATGGGGCAGTAATTTGCATGTGCTGCTAGCAGAGGGTACAATATGGCACTAGATGTATACAATAGTGTAACTGCGCTCATCAGATCTCAGTAAGTATGGATCTGCAGAGAGGGAAGGTGGGATTGTTTAGGTCAAGGGAGGGGGGCAAAAAGGATAAGTGCACTTTGTTTTAAAGTGAACTTATCCTTTAAAGTTGACCCAAACTCAGGAAGTGAAGATTTGTTATGTTATAGGGAGCATTTAGAAATGTTAACTGTGACGTAGTAGTACACAAAGTTCACATAAACTTTTACATTCATTTACAGCTCGCCAGATAGGAATCGGCGTCCTTCAACAGAAGTTGTCAAGTATTCAGCTGCCAGATTATTCGGGGTCCTATGATGTGGGGATCCTGGGAAGCGTGCATTATGACATCTCTGGGTGAATAATTATTGGATGTTTGTCATTAGTGTAAATAAAGCATTGCTGAAATCTGTAGAAATGACAGACAGTACTGTATATCATTGATGTTATCTACATCTACATATCACTGAGCGGGTTGTAGCACACCCAGTGAATAGCACATTGTTCCACTGTTGCATTGGTTTAAGAACTTTCCTTAATTTGTCATATGCCCGGCAAGCAGGATAAGTGCTATAAAGTGCTGTCTTCATAGAACATTTGTTGTAACCAATCGTAGCTCGCGAGATACTGAGCTTTGGGTCACGAGAGGACGCTAGTATATGTCCTCCCGTGACCCTTAAGAGAACTATGGGGAAAAACCATTAAAGATGAACAGTACCGCAACACACTAACGTTTGCATACTGAGGTACCATGCATTACTGCAATGGAGCAGCCTGGCATTACATATAATAAATACAACTCATGTGAGATCACAGAGATCTCCGATATCAAAATATTCAATCCTCAAAGATAAAAAATCATCATGAAAGATCAAAGATATTTCACTTTAATATGAACCTGTTTTTTTAATGTAATATGTGATGTAAGTTGTTATATTACAAGTCGTTATATTTAAGCTCTCACGGGCAGGGCCCTCCTAATCATCAATGTATTAAATTGCATTGTAACTTTATTTTGTAACATAATAGTAATAATAATATCTCTATAGGTAAGGCTTTTTGTTTTGGGGGGGTGGATAAGCTTGTATTAACCTGCCCCCTGTTTTGTACTGTCTTACAGCATGGCTATAACCAGCGTCCAGCTGCCCAGCTCACAAATTACGTTTGTTCCCAACGTTGGCCTTAAGGTTTCTATTGATCAGGCTTTTATTGAAATACATGGACGATGGGGAGTAAAGTACTTGTTTGTGTAAGAAATTGCAATATCAAATATGAATGTTTTATATTTTCTGAGTTGCATCATAAGAATTAAAGACCTCCCAGGAATTTCAAATATTAACCCTTGCAGTGGGGCTACCTCTGCACTGCAAGGGTTAACTGCTCATTTCTCTCTAGGGGCGAAAACACAGAAAAAATATTCACAGACAGCTCACCTCTCTCCCCCTCCAGTTGCGCACCTAATGGACTTGCATTAGACGTGATGACGTCACAGGGTCTTAGACTGCCGGAGCCCGGGGAAGCATTTCTTCTTCTTTTCACCCCTTAAAAAACAAAACAAGCATTTAACTTTTAAAATTCCCGGAGTACTTCTGTAGGAGCAATGTTATACCACACGTTATGTTTTGGACATTTAAAGTGATTCTATCACTAAATTATTACATTTATCCTCTGATCGGGGAGGAGGGAACGAGCAAAGCTTTATAATGGAAACTGGTGCAAATGTTGGCAAACTGGCCACAATAACAAAGCATATAGACCTGTTTTAGGTTCTCTGTGCTATCCAAGCCAGTGAACTTTGTTTTAAAGTGCACTTATCCTTTAATATTTTCTTATCCCGTCCATATAAATGAGATACACAGAAGAGGCATACTGAAGTTGAAACCCATGAACAGCCACTTAACAGGAATTTCCAGTTTCAGTGTAAATCCCTGTTCTAGCTCTGAACCAACTTGAACTGTAAAGTAACACCAAACACATGACTCTAATAAACAGCAAGAAGAACAAAGCTTGCCATCTGCTATGATTATTCCATCGAAATACAATTCCCATTGTACTCCTATTCTTTTGTATATTAGCCATTTTTTAAAACCCAACTATGTTTGTGTAACCCAACTCTACATTGTTTAAGTCTAGGGGGCAATAAAGAGGAAATAACCTAACTCTTCCTGGCTCCAGTGCTCTCCTCTTCTCCCTGACGCTTTCCTCTTCTCCCATACTTGATGATCTTGCTATAAATCCTGTGTCCTCGAAACTTCCTGGACACTGATCTGCCCAATGCTGTTAGCCTTCCCTGCTATCTTCTGTGAAATACAGAAATACCAACCTCTGTGTAATGGATATGGAGGGAGGGGTAGATGTTCTGTAAGGATATTATAGGAAAGAGCAGTAAAGCACAACCCTTATGCAGCACTGCATATGTCATGAACAAATATGCCCTCTCCTATGTATATATCAGACATCTCAACTCAAATTCTGGGAGTCTCCCGCTATTGGATAGTGGCTCCTGGACATCCGGGAGAGAAACAATTTCTCCCGGAAATGTTTACTCTGCTCTGAATAAAACTTTCCGTGCTGTCTGGTATAGGACCTAATAGCTAGATTGCTATTGGCTATTGCAAATTGAAATAGCCAATTGCAATCTAGCTACTAGTTCCTATGCCGGGTATTTTTTTTGTCCTGACGGCAGCAGCTGTCACCACACAAAAAAAACCCAGCAGATAGCAAAGGAAGCATTCACTTCTTTGATATCTGCCTTCATTTCAGGGGTGTGCTCTCTTCCTTTCACAGAGTAGGGGGGGAGGGTTGACAGAGGAAACCTCCCTGAAATGAAAAGGGCACCTCCCTGAAATGGCTTATTTCAGTTTTGGATCCCTGATGTATACTATTACAAACGATATATAGAAGAAACATTGTTAGACAGATAACAAACACTGATAACATTACATACAGCAAACTGATCTTATTTCCACCTATAACTTGAAAATGTTGAAAAACACAATGCATTCCCTTTAAACAGGAAGCATATACATATTTTACTGTGTTTCCTTCCAATAGGTCAGACAGTGGTGACTTCAACTTGAAGGTCTTAAGAATATCCATTGCTGTTGGTCTAAGTTTAGGAAGTGATGGATCTGGTAGGCCAACGGTGTCCACCTCTGACTGTAGTGCACATATTGGGGACATGCAAGTACACTTCACAGATACCATCGAGTAAGTTGATTCTCTTTATTTCCGATAGAAGCTTGTTTATAATGTACTGTGCATGGCAATGATTGCTGCCGTACACCTTGATATGGACTACACTGTATTTTGAAGAATCACATTTAATAGACTTCAGTGGGTCCATACAAGGCAACCCAGCAAATATGCATCCTGCATTACTTCTTCTTTTTTTTTCTATTGTACAACAGCACGGCACGGAAGTGGGAGCCATTCCTAAAGAAAACAACAGATTTTTGTTTATTCCTGTAAAATGCATGGCAACATGCCTGGTGTGAATGAGCCATGATGTGCATTTTTGATGTTGCATTTTTCATCTGAATGTATGTGCACGTGTTACCCCAGCCAGTTAACAAACTTAAGATGGCCATGCACATTAAGATTTTTGAAATTTTACGATTCACCCATCCATGCTAAATAGTGTGGTTGGAGGAAACTCCCTTGCTGGCTAATCTGACAGCCGGCAACTGTTTGACTGCAATCAATGTTTGGATGACAGTTTTCCACCATGCTCCAGCCAAATTTTAGACAAATTTGATCCGTGTATGGCCAGCTTAAAGCAGGTTAGGCTGCAATACTTTCCATTAATACAAAAGTATTCTCCTGCAGTACTTCTCTTTCACCACAAGATGTCTTCAGTTTTCCGGGTTCAATGACACCCAGCATCACTACAGTGCCCTTCATTCATAGTGTGTTCATGCAGAGAGCCCTCTGTCTCTCCAAGGACCACCCGCCACTGGAGAAAATTGGGAGAAAAAGAGGAGCTTGTGTGTTACATGACCAGCCAGAAGACATCTGAAAAGGAGAAGTATGCTAGAAAAAAAGCATAGAATACAGCATGAGCATGGGGAAGACTTGGGGAGAGCCAAAGACCAGAGTTGGACTTTAACCAGCTAAAGATCCTCCTTGCCGGGTGCATGCCTGCAGGGGTAAATGCTCAAACTCACTGTTAGCTTCTCCACCAGGATCCCACAGCCATTGTCTACAGCTCTTTTGGCCCTGATCACTGCCACAGCTTGTTATAGCTTCATTGCTTACTAAGTGTAGACAAAAATGTTACATTGTAGTTAGCTACACCTGCCAGGAGCCACTAATATCATTGTAAGGGCCTGTTCACACCATATGCTTTAGATTGCCCTGGTCACCCTTGCCCAATGCAGTCCTAACGCATAGGTAAGGCAAATTGCCTTTTTGTGCTATGGGTTCAGTTCACACCCTTGCACTGCCATGGTGTGTGCTGAAAAAAAAATGTAGAACAGGCACAACCTTTTTATCACCGCAGCATGTTGCAACGTACTACATCTGCCTAGCAATGCTCTGCTGTGAATAAAATAAATGAAATGTCACTTTGTTGTATTTTACTGAAGTTGTAAAAAAATAAGTAAACAGCGTGTTGGATTGTAATCTCCACATCGGCTCTGTGTTCTTTCAAAGGCATGCCAACGGGTAGAGTAGGACACGTCCAGAAATTATTTTTTTACACAGCAATCATGAAGCAAATCTAAAAATATAAAAAAAAAAAGGGTCTTCCAGATTTAACCCCTGACTAGCCCTTAACAAGCCATAAATATCCTTAACTAAATAGGCCCTCTATGTATGCATGTGAGATAGGGACCTTAGATTGTAAGCTCCTTGAGGGTAGGGAATGATGTGAATGTGCAACTTTGTAAAATGCTGCGTAAATTGTCAACGCTATATAAATACCTGTAATAATGATAATAACTACCCCTAATTACCTCCTGATTATGTGCTATTTAGCCAGTGCCGACTTTTGATAAACTCTTCCCTAAACTGACCCTAAATGTATTAAAATCACACTTAAATTGGGGGATGTTATACTATATGTAGATGGGCTAGTGTATACATCAGGTTCACCCATGGATGTATTTATGGGTTTCCATGGCTGTATTTATGAGAACTCATGGCTGTATTTATGGGTGCCCTTGGCTGTATTAATGGGAACCCATGGCCGTATTTATGGGAAATCATGGCTGTATTTATGGGAACTCGTGGCTGTATTTATGGGAACTCGTGGCTGTATTAATGGGAACCCATGGCTCTATTTATGAGAACCCATGGCTGTATTTATGGGTGCTCTTGGCTGTATTAATGGGAACCCATGGCCGTATTTATGGGAAATCTTGGCTGTTTTTATGGGAACCCATTGCTATATTTACGGGAACCCATGGCTATATTTACGGGAATCCGTGGCTGTATTTATGAGAACTCAAGGCTGTATTTATGGGTGTCCGGCCAAACCCATGTGTGCACTATATCCTCCAGAAATGAAACTATATGATGGTTATCCACACAAAAGCCGCACACCACAGATCCATCAATTAATGAAAGATTTCATTAACTAGTCAAGACATGTCCAGCACATCGAGGCTCCTCACTTTGGAGGCCGCCCACTTTAACATGTTTCACTCCTGTGAGGCTTAATCATAGAGATACAAATATGAAGGTTATGTTTGTGCTTTGCCCAAATTATGTAAGCTTTCAAGTTACTCCAAGGATCTTCACGTGTATGGAGTTCTGCACGATCCTCCAAACAAAATACAGCAAAATGGCAATGTGTACTATTACTACTCATCCCAGATTGCCCCTCTATATGTTAAGCAAATTGTTTTGAATGAAAGAAGAAAATCTAAATATAACTGTATGTAAGACTATATTTAGGTATGTTTTATTAATTAAAGCTTAACTCTGGGCACAAAATCTCAGGAGCAAAGTGCATGATTGGATTTATGCTGGATTATTGTACAGATCTGGAAGAAATACACAAAGTACACCAAGATCCAAGAATACACAGGACTCTTGTTTGTAGACAATATGTGTGTAGCCCGGATTTGAGCTTTAATGTAGATCAGATATGTCTGCCTAGAGCTAGTCTTAGATATAACATGTACAGCACTTTTTACTGTGTGTCTTTTCTCTAATATTCTAGCTGGCTCGTTAACCTCTTTGATGACGCCATCGCATCATCCCTAAGACAAACTATGGAAAATCAGGTATTTTTATCATTACAATTCACAGCCTTTCCTGTTTCTATAAGAAAATATACCCAAGTTCACTTCTAGTGTGTATATTCTTCTGCCTGTGTTTAAAGATGTGTATATTTTACAAGTATCAATACCAAGAGACATAACAGGCTTATCAATAACCAAAAGTGCATTGTGAAATGTGAAGTAACCCATAGAATAGACAAGCATGCCTGCATTATCCATTAGATAAAAGGAGGCTGCCATTGCTGTCCTTTCCCTCTGAAAATGTTAGCTGCCTGGCTGCCGTTATTATCCCCTGGTTTCAATGGTTAAAAAAGAACAATTAGGAGAGTAAAATGTACTTTTCCAAATAGTTTGAGCCAGCGTGTGACATTGCTGGTGTCACATGCAGGCTTTATAGATCGAGAACTAAGCGATCACAAACCGCTGATCACTCAGCTAAAGATCTTCTCCCTGCAGAGAGCGGTGATTGTCAGTCATGGATTTCCTCCTCCCCTCTCACTGTTCCTACACGGCTGATTGGAGGGTCAGACAGCAAAGGGGTGGGCACAGCTGGCTCTGGCTCTATAGAGGCAGAGCCAGCTGTCAATCAGGCAGCGGGGTGGATCCCAACAATATTGTCAGGATCTTTCCCGAGTGCAACGCGGCTCTGCAATGTCAGCATATAGAGGACAGAGGCCTGCTGTATGCTGACTTTGGGTCACAGGAGGACATTAGTAAATGTACTACTTTGCGGTGGTGTGCGGTGTCCCGGTACAGTGCCGAAGTACTGATCCCAGCACATCGCAATGTGTACTTTTTTTTGTTAGAACTTTATTGAAACATCACAAGTGACATTTTATTCAGTTCTACGGGCACAGCAGGGTGCAAAGCTGTTATGCCGCATTGCATCCAACTGCGCTGAGAAAAAGTGCACACCACCGCATTTCCATCGCAGCGCGGTGGTGTGAACTGAGGTCATCTGTGACAAGGCAAGTTCCCCTGTCTTGTGTTGGGACTGTGCTGGAAGCTACGGCCAGTGCAGCTTCAACGCAGATGGTGTGAATGGACACTTAATGTGATGTTAACCTGGAACATATATGTAACAAAGGAATTTTGGGCTGCATACCTTTTTCAACATCCGTAACTCAGAGCATTAAAGGCAGAGACAACTGAACATTTACCACTTTCAAAGGCAAGTCATAATTTGTGGCAGGCTTTGTTTCAGTGATATGAGTTTACTCGACTGAAATCTAATTGCAGGCTATAGATTGTTGCACGTCATTACTGCTCTTTGCTGAGCGTTTAAGGGTCAGTCAACCCAAAAGGGAGATTTAAGTTATAGGTGGAACTTGTTAGGCTGATTCACTCCTGGATTCTTATATGTCTTGGATAACAGTCAGATCTCCCTGCTATAATTCTCAACTTGGTTCTTGTCCATGTGGGGTAGAATTTACTCTCTGTCTATCCTGGTGATTACTGAGTCACCCAGAGAAAATTCAAAATGATACACCATCACCAGAACAGAAATGGAAGGGGACACTTGTTCTAAGGGCAGCTAAGAGGGGATTTTCCCTCACTTTTCGAGAGATTTCCTTTCGCTTCCTGGTATAGAAATCTCCACAATGGGACACGGATGACAAAAAAATGTTTGCCTCATGAAGATGGCAAAGGTAAGGGTCACAACGCTGCCCGGAATTGGATAGTGGTGGTACAGCGTGGTCACCCTAATAAGAGAAGTGAAGGAGGCCTAGCATCATTAGAGGTCAGTTTGGCAGATTTCTTTGGACCTAGATAGCCTTCTAAAACACAGGAGCATAACTGCTGTATGTTACAGTTTGTTTGTTTTTTCCAGCTTTATTTTCACCTGATTATCCCGCCAGTAAAACATTTAGGTGTACGTTTAATAAACTGTGATAAAACCAGCTTTATCTCGAGTTAACTTTACTCAGCAGATCACTTTGTTTTTCTCGGCTGCACAGAGGCTGTTTAATAACCTGCGAAAAGAAAACTTATCACACGAAACAGCTGTGAAGTCGTCACGGTGATCAGTAGAGAAAGCAATGCGGGGAATGTATTCTGAGCTGCACAATGACATCCTCTGTGATAATCTACAATCCTCCTGACAGGATCATAGTTTACTCTGCCAAACCACCCATTAACAATATTACAAACCACCTCTATAGCAAAGTGCAACAGTTATGTATCTGTTCAAATGATGAAAATTGCTAAAAAGCAGGATTTACATGTTCCGATTTGTTCAGCATGTACCAGTACAAAAGCATGAATCAAACTACCAGAGGCAGCCACAATGCGAGGCAGTGATGGGGTTAAACATTCTAAAGGGGCACTCTGATGGAGCCAAGCGATGTAAGTGGGCACTCTGACACATGCTGGAAATTAGAATGTTTGGCGTCCCTGAAAAAAGCCTGCTGTCCCGAGATAGGTGCATCAGCACTGTGTGTGTGCAAACACACTAGCAGCAGGTATTAATGCATTATAAACAGCGGACCATGGTGGCAAAATGGTCTTACAGATTGTTATGTGTGGAGTGCAATTTTCACTGCATCTGCCTGTAAAACATGCTCCCCAGACATCCTTCAAACTTAATTTGGTGGGCCTGTTTCTGAGGGAGACTGAGCCTTCAACAACAAGCCCTGACATGACCTTACTGAACTTTACCTCACACTACACAGATACAGTGAGGGGACTTGAAACTGCCACTGTCACTCTCATGAGGGAAGGGTGGCATTAAGACAGACTTCCCTCCTTTTCCCTCGTAATCAGCATTCAGCCTACCTGGGCAGCCAACCATTGCTACTGGCAGAAATGTCCCAAAATGTCAGAAATCCAGAAGAGGAGCATCTGTGCTTTATTTTAACTGTTCCTGAAGGTTCCTAAAGTCTCTAGATTTATGACAAGTTCCTGTATGTTTGCTCAGTGCTTCACGATAAAAAGGCCTTTATCACCAGGTCTGACAGGGTGCTAAATCAAGGGTACTTTTCACAATACTTATCCAGTGATAAAGCTGTTCTCTACTTTTCTCCCTTTATTAAACAGGTACATTCCCATTACTTTCTGTGCACTTATCACCAGGATGAGAAGAGGTGAGATATTTCAGTTCCTACCTGACTTATCACGGGTTATTAAACACCATTTTCTAGACTTTTCAGTTTGCTAAGGTGAGAAAAGCCTTCTCACTGCTTATCACACTCTTTCACAGTTTATTAAACGTACACCTTATTGTATTTGGGTGAAAACAGTCACTCACTGTGCTGTATCTGTTGAGGAGCAGCATTGTCACCCTAGGAAAGGAAGTATTTTGTTTCTACAGAACATCTTCCCCTCTCCTCATCATGGGAGGGGGGGGACAATCGGCAGTGGCACAGGAAGTTATCAGGGTACAAGATTTCTGGAAGGATTTGGCAAACTATTTATTTTACACTTATTGAACAAATACTGTATAACACATGTTTTCAATAGTATATTTAACAGGTAGCACATAAGAGAATTTCCTTGTTAAGGTTCACATACCCTTCAATGTTATATAACTTTTAATGCTGCAATAAATATTTTTGTAACATTAAAATAGAACTAGGGTCAAAACCTTGGACCTGGGGTTACCCAAGTTGTTTCTTTTGACTGAAATCCATTTCGAAACAAGACAATATTTTCAACCATAGCTTCTGAATTGCTAAAAATAATATTCTCCGCGGCTGGAGATAACTGTAACACTGCTAATAACACTCTTTAGTCCAGTTAAAATCTTTTGTCTGCTTACATCTTAGCCTTCTACTGAACACCTTAGGTTGCTGTGACTATAGTAATTATGGATTTAAAATGAATCAGCCATCTTATTAGTATACTGTATATAGAAGTAGATTAATTAAGGTGTTCTATATACAGTATGTATGCTATTGAGAGTGTGTGATTGTAAACGTATCTATCATTTCAAACCACAGGTCATTTGCCTGTAAAACTAACATTCAGGCCACCAAAGACTGTTCTTAACATTGACTTGGTATAGATCGCATTTTCTCTTCTCCAGTTTATTCTTTAATCTTCCCTTTACTGTACATAGATGGTCACACAGTCCACTGTGAGTCCTATATGAAATCTTTTAGGGTGATATGAAAGCTGCTAGAATTTGTGTACATGGACATGTTTTTTCCAGGCCCATATTCTGCTAAGCTTAGATCCACATAGCATAGAGCCTTGGTTCTCAACTGGTGGGTCGTGAAACGAAAGTGGGTCACGACCCCGTGCTCAGTGGGTCACCGCATGCCTTCCAATTTTCTAGTTGAGAGGCTCCTCAGCCTTCCCCTAGCGCAGCACTGTCAGTTCTCGCACCCAGCACCCATTTAAAATATGCTGCCCGGTGCCGAGCGTCATCTTGAGGTGGTGTGGGGTGGGCTGGAGGTATGGCCGCGCGGAAGCTCCATCCATCCATCCATCCATCCATCCATCCATCCATCCATCCATCCATACATACATACATACATACATACATCCATACATACATACATACATACATCCATCCATACATACATCCATACATACATACATACATGCATTGCTTACAGCACCCTTGCGCAGAGGTGCCTGGACCGAAGTGACGTCACATCTTCGCTCCCGACACCTCTACGGGCGCGCATGAGAGCTGTACAAGCAATGGATGGAGCTCCATCACGGCACAGCAGCCCACACAGGAGCCCAGGTTGAGGATCCACTCCAGTTCTCATCAGGTAGGGAGACTGGGTGGATCTTAAAAATAAATAAATAAAAAATCTTTTTTGGAGTGTATATGTGTGTGTGAGAATGTGTGCCTGTCAGTGGTTTTGAGGGCCCGTTCACACTAGTACAGTGCGTTAATCACATAGTCCCATGCGATTTACACACTGTACCACGCAATGATACCTTTCGTGCGCTCTGTTTTGGGAGTTGCGTTGCATTGCCATTTATTTGAATGGCACCCCAAACGCACCTCCCACCCACAGTTTGATCGCCTGCACTGGAACACGCAATACCGCAATGCTGTGTGTTCCATTGCAGTACGCCTTGGGTCGTGACTTAATGGCCAAGGACAAATGTGGGTCCTGAGGTTACACAGGTTGAGAACCACTTGCATAAAGCATACAAAGCTACCAGACACAGTTAGGTCATTCACCTCTATAGTGAACATACTTCTCAGCATACTTTAGGTAGAACAAAAGGCAAACAGAAACATTGTATTTATATTTGACATTTTATTATGCTTAATATAAGCAATATCCGTGCATTTAGGCGCATTTAACTGCGTAAAAGCAGGCTAAGCGGAGCCAGGATGCAGGAGTTTGGGTAAATGCTTCTAGATTGAATGCACCCCGACACTGCTAACCATCTAGGTGCACATTCAGCAAAAGCAAATCATTACATGCTTCCTGGTACATTCAGAAATGAACTCCAAAAGCACCTGGGCTCATGTATTTTTATTGCCATGTGCATGAGGGCTCAGGTGGTGGGATTCAAGAACTCGCTGGTCTCTCCAGAAATCTCTTTCTCTGATTAAGTCTCTTCCGCCGTTTCCAGGTCAACCTGTTTGTTATACCATCGAGGCTGATAAAATAAAAATAGAAGTTTTAATAATTTCATTTGTAAACAAAATAAAAAGTTTGCAAAGTAAATAGGAAACAAGAAAAAGATGCATACTGCATATGATTCTACTTACTAAGAAGCGGATGCTGGAACCAATGGCAATAGATGCCAGAATTAAAGCACCCAGCACAGAGTATATTAATATAGTGCTGAATGTAATCTCGTTTGAAAGCCGTTCTTCCATTGCATTCAGTAAAGACATGAAGTGATCTAAGAAAAAGAAATGCATACTCGTAAGAAGATCTGCTAAAGTAGATTAAATATTTCTATTATCTGTGTTTTCACCCAAGATTTATTTACTTATTTTTACACTAACCTGCGTCTGACATATTAATGGTCGCTGTGGAACAATGAAAAATAAAATGATCACAACATGTCACATCCAAAGAGGAATGCATCCTGCATGGTAGGTCCGTGCATAAATGTATGCAGTAAATAAAGATATACTTGTGCAGACCTTTTGGGCCAGTCTCATTTAATCCTAGGACTTTCGTAGGAGCAATGAACTCTGCAGAAGGGGGAAAAAATAGTTTAAAACCCCTGACATGTTAATTGCATTTAGAAAGTAAACAAATTCAGTGACAACTAGTAGCTTGGTCATTTAGCAGTAGCACATAGAGACCAGATATACCAGTACAGCTAAACTCCTAATCGCAGAACAGGTATGTGACTAGTCTACAGTCCCCTTCTTACCATTGTTGGGAGCCCCTTGAGATGGATTGGAGTCCACAGGAACAGAAGCTAGTACTCAGGCCCGGCGCAACCACAAGGCAAGTCAAGCGGCCGCCCGAGGGCTCTGATGGGGTGAGGGCGGCACTTTGCAGATGGGCTAGTTTTGATGGTTGCGGACAGGCCGCATGGAATCAGGCAGCCTCGGCTGCCTAACCATCACATTAGGCCGGGTGGAGGAAGAGGGGCTGAGGCAGGACCGGAGGCGGGGCTGTACCGGGCTGGGCCGAGTGAGATGCCACCCGTCCGCCCCAGGCAAGTTGACAGGGGCGGACTGATGGTAATTACTGCTGCAGCGCCAGGAAGCATGGAGGCTCCAGGTCTGGCACTGTGGACAGCGAGCGGCTTCTTTTCTGTTCATAGCCGCTGCTGTCCTCCTGCTCTTCCAGTGTGGGCATCTGACCAGGGACCAGGCTGAAGCTGCACCAAGGAGACAGCAACAAGCAGGTAGGTGGGTCTGGGGAGGGCTTATCTAAGGGCTTGTACACACCGAAAATGGTGCGTTCCAGAGCGCTAGCTTTCCAGCTCACTGACGTCACTGGTTGCCAGCAGCTAGGCGGGATGCCATCCAGAGTATCCAATTCAGCGCCTGGGCAGCAGGCAACGTCATTGAGCTGGGTTGGAAGCCAACAGAGCGTCACAGATTGCTAAGAGCTGTGGCCATGTTAAGGCTTGCTATTCGCCAAGTCTTATCACTACCCTTTAGCGTGTACGGGGAATGTATTAAAAAAAGAAAGGAGTAAAGAAAGATTTTTTTAAAATCTACATACGAGGTGTGCAATGAAAAAAATTATTATTATTAGAACACAGCACGGTGAATATAGGAGATCATTCATAATTTTATATTTTATGAAATTAAATAGCCAGAAATAAAATTCGTACCTGCTAGAATTGTAGTATTATTAATTGCGGCGAGTTTGGCTGTTAGGGAAGAAATTAACATTGGTTAACAGATGAAGGCCCATTGATAATATAAAAATGTAATTTGAATGAAATTCCCAATAAGTTTTTTTTAAATGTCACTGTGTAGTGTACTCAGTGTTTGTTACCAGGAGCAATAGAGACCAGATCTACCAACTCAGCTAAACTCCTCCTCCCAGAGGAAATACATGATCAGTCTCCAGCTCCCTTCTTACCACATCCTGACTTACATGGAAGTGTCCTGTTTTCTAGAAAAAAAGATAAAAGAAGACATTGTTATTTATAATTATACATTTTTTTGTAGCAAAGCGTTTAGTATAAAATTTTACATGAACTTTCCTAAAAACATAGCTGTACTGAAAAAGTAGCATGAAAAGTAAAGTGGTGCCACTGCTGCTTCTGATAATATTTATAATGTCATTATCATTTTAGATCACGTGGCAAGTAAAGAATAATATTTGGGACAAAACCTGCCAATTATAATCAGCCTTTGCATGGATAATTTACCAGCTTTATAGAACCTGTCCTGTAAAATAATACTGCTCTCGTCTCCCAAGGTGGCCAATCACATAGTCCAAGGCTTGATCTTAGCTGAAGGGACTTCAGTGGCTGATATTTAGGTATAGTTGGCCAATGAGTGGATCATCTTAAATTCTGATCCTCTTCTTTTCTTGATAACTTTTAACCAAAGGCACATAGCCACATGACTGGCATCACTAAGAGCCTAGAAATGCTGTTTCTGCAGGTCAGGCAAGTATTTCAGGGTGTCAAAGGTCTTCAAAGTGTTAAGGGAATGAGGTTGGCATGTGACAACCTGACACAAAAACTGGTAAAACTATATGAAGCAATCAGTCAAATCTCTGTTCTAAGTATTTACTAAGGGCTTAGGCCTTATTGCTACCCTTTAGTCTGCATGGGGGATGAGTAATAAATGAAAGGAGAAGATAAACACATAAACTTCTGCTCATTATATCAATGGTTGTAAAGACGTTTTAGAACTTTTCTCCTACTTGGTGATCCTTAATTTAGAACTTAACCTTAGAACCTTAAATTAGAATCGTTCTGAAATCCTTTGCTACCATGGGCTCTATGATTCAGTCTGGTGATGCTACATTTTCAAATGTAAATTTAACAGACCAAAAAGAAGGAAATAAGAGAAGTTCATTTTTGGGGCTGTGTTATATATCTTCTTATCCTTGCTAATGATATTTAAATATATTTAAGCAGAAATCTGGAGAGACTTGCTGTTGTCCCCAAGTGATGGTTTACTTAGGGGTCTATTCACTAAGCTGCCGTAGGCAGCCGAGTGAATGACCGACCTAAAGCGAAGTGAGCCGAACGCTGTTTGGCTATTCACTTCAGGCTGGTACGGCTGATTTCAGCCGTATATCGGGTGGCTTCGGGTCGGCCGAACATGCTCAGCATGTTCGGCAGAAGGAGTTCGACTCAGCCGATCCAACATCTGGATCGGCTAAGCCGAACCTCCAGCAGGCTACTCGCTGCAGTTCAGTCTATTCTTATAGATGTCGAACAGCAGTGAGTGAATATCCAAATGCCGCTGAGCGGCATTCGGCTCGGTACTGAGCAGAACAGAAAAATAGATTAAAAAGTAGAAAAAAAATAAATAGAAAACGATTGTGCGGAGCTTGCAGTGACAGCTAGCTCCGCCCAACTGTTTTCTATTGGCCAGCGGTTCTGCTGCCGTCAAAAATAAAACTCTCCCGGTTGCTCCGGGAGTCTCCCGGAGATAAATTCTGCTTTTTCGTTCTTTTTCTTTATTCTGACATGGAGCCGTGTCAGAATAGAGAAAAAAATATAAAAAATTGGCTATAGGAATGCATTGCTAGATTCCTATTGGCTATTTCAATTTGCAATTCCAATAGCAAACTAGCTATTGTACCCGTCCTCTGCTGCTGTCAATCAGTATTGGTGGACCTGATGGAGAACTGCAGCAGAGGGCGGGTGCAATGCTAGTTTGCTATTGTCTATTGCAAATTGAAAAAGCCAATAGGAATCTAGCAATGCATTCCTATGGCCAAAACTATTTTTGTTTGTTTTTCTATTCTGACACGGCTCCGTGTCACAATAAAGAAAAAAAAAGAAAAAGCAGTGTTTCTCTCCTTGACGGCCGGGAGCGGGAGAATCCCAGAGCGCCAGGGAGAGTTAGGCTGTCTGGAGATCAGTGTCCCTGGTTAGCTGGTAACCAGGGACGCTGATCTCTCTGCAAGTGGCCGGAGCCAGCCGTAAGATCACGGCTGGCTCCGCCCAACTGCCAACTTCGGCTGTCAGCGCGGCTCAGCCGAGCCGAGGCATATGCGTTCAGCTCGACTGAGCCGCTCGGCCAAGTTCAGGAGCTGTACGGGCTATAGTGAATAGCCCATACAGCAGCCCTGAATTTCGCTGAGCTCATTCTGGCCAGCGATTGGTTACCAAATTTCTCTTGGAAAGGTATTGCACCCCTGATTGCCCTGATCACCCTATTCAGACATTTCCTCTGACCGGCAGTGCCGTAGGGGAACATGGAGCCAGCTTCCCGTGCAATCAAGAAGTAAGCCGGCTCCATGCTGATTGGCTGGTTAGCCGGCCTCCTGGCCAATCAGGAAGCTGGGAGGTGGCCAATTACTCGCCTCCCAGCTTCCAGATGGGTCGGGAAGCAGGCTCGATGCTGATTGGCTGGAAAGCCGGTTTCCTGATTGCCCGGAAAGCCAGCTCCATGCCAGGAGAAGCAAACATATCAGTAAAATATCGGGACTCCCTAATAAAGATCTTTATTTTAGCCAAGCGGCTACTATTTTTAGGTCTCAGTAGACTCAGCCGTGTGACAGTTATTGTCACATGTCAGTAGACTCAGCTGAAAGTAACTGTCACTTTACAGCCCGGCCTAACCCTTCCCTAAGCCTAGCCAAAGCAAATAAAAAAAAGGCTGATCTATCATCTATTTGAACTACAAAACAATCCTACCTGGTTCTCCGTCTGAAGGATCGACAAAGAATATGAGAATGAACACAATGATAACCGCACACTTTTTGTAGAAAACCATCATAAATAGATCGCAAAAAGCAACAACACAGATGCACAACCACAGGGTATTACAACTGCTCTGGTGTAAACAAGGCTGGAGCAGCACAAGTCACGGGTCATGTGACCTGCCTATGTCTTTTTTTTTTATTTATTTAAAGTTCTGTTTATTCAATTTTGCATAAAATACACGGTAACATTTCACCTACAGCAGTAGGGGTACATACTTAGTTACAACCTTATAAC